GTCTCCCCGGGACTCCCGCCTGCTCCCTGGACTGTGCCAGCTTTGGTGGCATGCATGTGACGTGCGAGGGCACGGGCAGGCAGAGCGATACTCCACTCGACACCCGGTTCATGAACGGTTTTGGAGCACAGCTCTGGGGTCATGACTGCAGCCCTGCTCAGAACCCCCAGGAATGCTCCCCGACGTGCAGGATGGAGCCCCAACCCCCCAGCCGGATGACCAGCCGCCTTTCTCCTTGGCTCCGGCCAGTGTTACTTGCTATTCTTACACAAGCTCTGCATTTTCCTGTCTCTGTGCCACCCTCTCTGCCTGGCTGTCCTGTCTGCCCTGTCCACGGTCTAAGACCTGCCCAGCCTTCCAACACCCGCTCTCCTGGTTCCTTCCCTCTTTCATGGACCTGAGCACTTTCTGCCTTGAAAAGTGAAAAAGTGAAAGTGTCAGTCGCTCAGTCGTGTCTGCCTCTTTGCAACCTTGTGGACTGTAGCCCGCCAGGCTCCTCTGCCCATGGGATTCTCCAGGCGAGAATACTGGAGTGGGTAGCCACTCCCTTCTCCAGGGGGTCTTCCCAACCCAGGGACTGAACCCAGGTCTCCTACAACGTAGGCAGATTCTTTACGTCTGAGCCACAGGCGAAGCCCACTTTCTGCCTTAGGTAGCCCTGAACATGTTCTGTGCGGATCTGAGTCGCCGGTGCAAATGCCGCTTCTTCCCCACTTGGGCTATGAGCTCCTGGAGACTGCAGCCCAGTAACTGACAAGAAATGAAGGGACAGAGCTTATGGGCCGAGGAAGACTCTTGAGAGATCTGGGCTGAGCTGCAATCTGACGGGAAGGTCAGAAATGTCTCTTGAGGTCGGAATCTGGGCCACATTTGCAAGGTTGTTGCGCAGTTTGCCTGTGGGGATTTGAAAGCTGAAGGCACCTTTCAAGGCCTCCCTGGGGGCTGTGTACCCTACTGGGGACGGCAGCTCAGGGCCTAAAGAGAGCTGGGCTGGGCCCAGGTCAAAGCAGCAGGGGCATCTCTGCTGCGGCCAGGAGGGTCACTCTGTCTGTCCCCTTCCCAAGCATACGAGGAGGCCCTGGTGCTCTCCCTGCCTCCCAGCTGTAAACCCTCCAGCCTTTGAAGTCCTGTTTCCCTCATCTTGTCCTGATTCCTTTGCAAAAACTCATGAAACTAGAACTTGCAAAGAGTCATTCATACTCCAAAGTGCCTAAAGAACCCTTTTAATGAGATTTTTTTTTTTTTTTTTAAAATCCCTTTCTCCCACTGCTTGCCTTTCCAGACAGGAAACTGGGTAAGAGGGTGATGTTTTCTGGCCAACTTCTAAAAGCTCAACCTTTTGCTTTCCTGAGGCTAGAGTGAGTGTAGCAGGGGTCAATGGTGTGTGCTGATGGCCGATGGCCCAATGCCCTGCTGGGTCAGGCTGGAGATGGGAAGACGGAGACTTCTGCAGGAGGGGTTGAGGACAGTGTTGAAAAGTGACAAGGCAGGACCTCTGTGAGACTGCTTCGTGGTGGGGGCGGCTGCCATGGAGGGACGTGGGAAACTGAGGCAGGCAGGCACCGCGTGGATTACCGTGGGTGCAGGGAAACGTTTCTGGGGAAGGGGCTGGTGGGTGGCTGCTCGGCCTGGTCCAGGGATCCGACTGGTCCCCAGAGTGGGACGCAGACACCATCTCTGTTGTCTGTGAGGTCACTTGCCGCTAGGTAGCTGGGTTGGTCGTGAGTCTCCTCTGGGTCTTGGCCTCCCTGGCCACAAAGCCAAGGGACTGGACCAGCTGGGCATCTAAGGTCACTGATGACGAGGGTAGTGATGCCTGCCCCGACCACCCCGTGGGGCTGTTCCGACACCAAGGTGCAGGCTTTCTAAATTGTGAAGCACTGTGAGTACTCAGGATGAAGTGGGCTTTAGGCATACTGATGGAAGCCTGAGAGTGGCCCCGTCACTAAGAACTGAGTCTCAGCTCCTCTGTGGGGCTTGAGCCCTGCCTAGGCTCTTCTGCATCTCCAGGGCTTTGCCTGGCGTGTCCCCTCCACCTGAGATGCCTACCAACTGTCCCATCCTAGGGAATACCTACCCTCTCCTTAAGGTTCAATGTACCTCTGCCCTGCGGCTTCTCCAGACCTTCTCACCCTTACGCCAGCTCCGGCCCCCAAGCCCTCTGCAAGTAACAAGGCCCAGACTGGGAGCTCTGCTGCCTGGGCGAGACTGTCTTCACCTCTGCTCCCCACTCTGCCAACGGACGGATGGATGAACTCTGTCCTCTGAGCTGGAGGGGTGGAGAGCCCTGTTCCCTGGGGCCACACTCCCCCAAACTCTCTCTCTTCCCCAGAACACCCTCGCAGCAGGGCCCAAGGCTCACGTGATAACGTAGCTAGAATTCCAAGGTCACTATGCCCTGCAATCCTGATAATGCTGCTCCCCACTCCACCCCTGCCAGGCAGCCTTCGGCATCAGAGAGACCCCAAACCTCCATGGTGGCTGGCAAAGCTGGCACCTGCCCCAAGCAGCTGGGACGTTCAGTAACAAGGCAGTTCCATTTGGGGTTGAGGTGATGAATGCCAGGTGTCTCTCCCTGGTTGGCAGCCTGGCTGGTTACTGGGGCTGCTCTGGAAAACAAGCCCAACTCCCCTTAGTAGGTTGCCCTGGCAAGCCATGGACCACCCAACCCTCCTCCCCACTTCTGGCCTCCTTTGAGGGAAAGCTGATCAGGTAAGACCACCGCTCTGGCGTTTGGGATCTAGTGGCTCTAGACAAGCATGCAAAACTAAACCCTCTACCTCAGCATCCGTGGGCAGAGGCCAGCCATCCAGACTGCACTTCCCGATAATGAGAACAGACAGGATGGGTGCAGGAAGACAACCCGGGCTTGATGGCAGAGTGCTCTGATCCAGGTTCCAGCACAGGCCCCCCTGAGCTGTGCCACCTTCTCCCCCACCTTCTCCTCTTGCTGGGAGGTGCAGGGGATCCGGCCACAGCCGGCCAGGGGAAATCCGGGGAGCCAGGGACACTGCTGGGCCTCTCTGTCTGCGCGGAGAACAGCACTGCCTCTCGTGTGCAGGTCGGGACACTGAGGCTCAGAGAGGTGATGTGGCTGCCGAGACCACGAGGTCGGGGAGCGGGAAAACCCAGCCCGGACTGGAAGCCTGTGAGAGCAGGAGCGTCCGGGGAGGGAGCAGTCCAGGGACGCAAAGGGAGCTACGCCCTTAGAACCGCGACGCACACTCTTCTGAAGACCCACCTGCGAGCCACCATTTGCGTCTGTGCTCATGACGATGGCGCTGGCTCAGGGTGCCGGGGAGCGGACCCTGCTGATGTGAGCAGTTCCCACCCCTGGTTCCAGACTCCTCGTGTGCTCTCAGTGAACAAACAGAGGCGCCGGGTCCCTGCCACTCACAGCAATGACTGGGCTGGAGTGGGGCGCCCCACCCCCGCCTCTGTGCCTTCAATCAGCCCTCCAGGAAAGACGCTTCCGGCCTGGTCCCAGATGACGGAATTCCAGGAAGAATGAAATACACTGAGGAGCTCAGAGACGGCCAGTGTGACGAGTGTGAGGAAGACCAGGGAGTGGGCAGTCTGTCCGGGTCAGCAAGGAAGGATGGATGGTGACATGGAGGCCCATCTCTGATGTCACTCACCTCCCTCACCTCCTGCAGCCCAGAAAGGCACAGTTCACCTTGAGGCAGGAAGGTGAAGATCTGGAAGCATCACTCATGGACCTAGGTTGCTAGGTTACCTCGAGCAGTGGGGGCGGGAAGAGGCAGCATGGAGCAGCGGGGTGACCCCTCCCTGCGGTTGCCCCCTCCCCGGGGCAGGGACAGCCCTTTGACTGTGGCTGCCACCAGCCCAGCTACACGTTAGCGCACTGAGTTCTCCTTGGCTGCAATAAAACCAGCCTGATTCTAAGCTGTCAGGCCTGATGGTGAAGAATGAAGTATCCATGTGCCGCTTGCCCTGAGTGCCCTCCCAGAGGCTCAGAAATCCCCTCGACGTCCTCCCTGGCAAGGCAGTTGCCCAGCTCCTGGTTGCACACCCCCAGTGATGAGACACTCACTACCTTCTGAAGCAGCTCTGATTCCTGATAGGCTTGAAGGGTTGGAGAACCGCACCTCTCGCTGACCTGGAGACCACCTGCCCATAACGCCCCATCCACCACTTCTGCCCTGATGTCCTTGAGAGATCTGTGGCGGTCTGTGCTGGCTGAAGGACCTGGGTTTATATCTCAGTTCTGTCACTAACTCTAAATCCCGCCTCTCTCCCAGCCTCACTTTTCCTACCTGTAAAATGGGTTTTAGTCAATCTGTTGAGTTCCATCCAGCAACAGCACTGAAGGATGAAACCCTCAATCAAAAAACCCTTTTCTTATTTCAGGGCCACCTATCCTGAAAGCAACATCTTGTGGATCACAAAGACCCAAGAGCTGACAAAGCAGCTGCAGGTGATCATGTCAGCAAGGTTCTTCCTGGCTCTCCGTGGGGTTCCTTACAACCTTCGTGCGACACATAAAAGGGAGACTTGCCCAAACAGTAGCCAAGGACATAAGGAAAGGGTGGTTCTCACGGGGGCAGCAGGAGCAGAGGGGTGTCAAACACCCGGCCTTGAGTACTGACCCAGCCCCCGCCCCTCTCTGAGCCTCAGTTTCCTCATCTGCACAATGGGGACAAGATGTTTCCCCTCAAAGGGCTGTTGTGAGGCTTGAAGGAGGGATGAGACATGCTAAGTGCTTCTACAGTCCCTGGCTTACGGCAGGTGTGGAAGCTATCCTTGGATATTTAATATAAATCCTAGGAAAATGCCCCTCCTCTTCAAGGGAGGCAGAAATGGAGAATAAAAAAACAAAAAACCCTCCTTTGTGTCCCAGGAGAATTAAATCAAATTGGAAAAGCAAGGCTTGAAATCACTCAGGCTGGCAAGCTTCCCCGGGGGGACACCGGCGGGTCTTTCTGCCCCAGGCAGCCGGGCGGGGTCGCAGGTTGCGGGAGGCGGCCGAGGTTACTCACTTCAGGGAGAGGGAGTAGTCGTGCCTGCTGGTCTGGCTGTTCCGGACAAGGTAGCTGCATTCCTTACACAGGCGTAGCAGGTTCTCAGCGTCACCCCTGCTGATGGCTCCGTGATACCATCTGCGGAGGAGAGATGGGCTCAGAGCTCAGAAGGGCTGGACACCCCGAAACCCCTCTGCCCCCGGGAGACTCAGCCCCGCCGGAGGGCAGCTGTGGGCATCCTGGGCCTCCTTGTCACTAGGCGGCGTCCCCGTCCCTGCCGACGTCACGTGCGCGCTCACTCACTAGACATCGGCAGAGTGCTGGCCGCGTGCAGGCCTCAGGGACAGGACGGTGCGCAAACCCGGCCTCCATGTGGCTCACAGTCTAGTGTGGGTGCCGCGAAGGACACGGCGCAGGGTCGCCTGGCTTGGAGCTGGCGGGAGGGACTGCTGTCTCAAGCAGCAGCGAGGGAAGCCTTCTGCAGGGGTGACATTTCAGTGTGGACCCGAAGGAGTTGAGGGAAGATGCCACAGAAGAAGAAGCTGGAAAACAGCCTATGTGGCAGAAGAAAGGCAGCGAGAGCAGGATGCCCGGCATGTTTTGGAAACAAGAAGGCCAGTGATGGCTAGAGTGAGGCAAGGGGGCGGGGTGGGCGCTGGGGCCCAAGAGGCCCGGGGGCAGGGCCGGGTTGGGGGCCTGGTGCTCGAGGTGATGCGAGGACTCTGAGGCCTGGGGGCAGGGCCGGGTTGGGGGCCTGGTGCTCGAGGTGATGCGAGGACTCTGAGGCCCGGGGGCAGGGCCAGGTTGGGGGCCTGGCGCTCGAGGTGATGCGAGGACTCTGAGGCCCGGGGGCAGGGCCGGGTTGGGGGCCTGGCGCTCGAGGTGATTCGAGGACTCTGAGGCCTGGGGGCAGGGCCGGGTTGGGGGCCTGGCGCTCGAGGTGATGCGAGGACTCTGAGGCCTGGGGGCAGGGCCGGGTTGGGGGTCTGGCGCTCGAGGTGACACGAGGACTCTGGTCTCTCTGAGAGACACGTGAGCCGTCAGAGGGCGCCGACAGGAGGGATGTGTGCTGGCTCTGCGACATCTGCGGGACCAAGGGCGGTGCTCATCACTTAAGAGAGCAGGCGGTGGGGTGGGGTGGCCAAACCAGTGCTCCCGCCAAGTGCATCTGGCATCGGCCGGGCATGTGGGCATCCCAGCAGTTCTGCTTCCAGGCAGCACGTGGTGAGCGGCAGAATCACGTTGTGGGGGGCGGTGCTGTGGCAGACGCCTGGCTAAGGCCCCGAGCGCAGGACAAAAGGGGGACGTGGGTTTTCAAGATTGGAAGAGTTGAACGTAAAATTTCAGCAGCAGAGTGAAGATCCTAGGATGCTGGTCAGTAGGTGTACTGAGAACAGGTCTCCGCTTACTTACATGACGGTCTCTGAGGGATTGGATCAGTGGGAAGGCCAGATGTGGTTAGGAAGGGAACCAGAGGTACCAGTGGTCAAGGATAGATCATGCTTTAGCCGTGGAGGCGCAGACCTGGCTCTGCCACTGGCTGGCCAGGAGTCTGGGGCAAGACGCTAAATCTGGGTGCACCTCAGTTTCCTAAGTTAGGTCACTCTATTGATGTTTTGGGGTTGGGAAGATTAAACAGAATGAGGCATTGAAGGGCTGATGGAAAGCCTGCAGTGGGGTGGGTTTCAGCAACTGGCAGCTACCAGCATCAGCCAAAAGAGAAGTGAACTTGCAGACAGCCAAAGGTCACTTCCCCAACTACCAGTATTTCAGGCTGCCGCTGTGTAGACTGCATTTTAATTTCGTACCTCCCCCAGGGGTACGGAGGAGCCTGCCTCCAGGACCTGGCCCAGGACTGCCCTGTGAATAGTACCCGTGAGAGTTCTGGGACAGACATCCTGCGTGGAGAAAAGCATCACACTGCCTTTCTCTGCACGTCCTGCCGTTTATAAGGCAGTGTTCTAAACAGTTAGCAGCAGTGAAGATGACGTAATTATAACCTAAGAAAAAAACCCAACTCAACCAGCTCTAGGAAAGCAAGGACTGCAGAGTGAGAGACGTGAGTATCCCGTCCAGTGAGCTTGTGACAGAGTCACTGATGGCCCCAGAGGTGACAGCCCACAGGTCAGACCCGAGGCTGGACATCTGGAGGGGGACTCGCCAAGGGAAAAGGCAAAGGGAAGTGGACACCGCAGACCCGCCTTCCTGTCTACACTTACACAGAAATTAACAGGATGTGACGCTGGGAATCGCACGAGCTGCCATAATTAAAACATTCCCAGAGATGTGAAGGGCCAGTGTGTGTTTAAGATACGTGAGTGTAACTGGGAGACGTGGTGAGACAAGGATGGAGCTGACTTTAGAGATGAGAGCTAACAGTTTTGCCAAGGTTGTTTTCCAGGAAGTTTCACCTGCGTAACACAGCCCCAGTGAGATGACAAAATGCTGCTTTATTAGCCAAGCAAGTTTCAGCTGTTTGCAGCAAGCCGTCCTCAGGGAAGGCCAAGGAGTGGTCTCCAGGGAGGCGCCGCCTGAGCCTGGGGGCCTTGGGGGCTCTGCACCCTCGTTAGGGTGATCCCTGGTGGGTAAACAGAGTAAGTTGCTGGTTCCTTCCCAGCTGCTCCAGCCATTCCACACGCAGAGGAAGGCAGGGAACTTGGGATTGAGGATCAAAAGAGAACCAGGAGGAGGTGGGGAGAGAAGAGGCAAAGGGCGCTCAACTGGGGGACGGGGAGAGGGCAGACTGTCAGGATGAGGATGCCTACCAGGAGACAGGACGGGCCTGGCTGGTCCTCGGGGCTGGGGGCAACCCCTGGGCCCAAGGAGGACCTGCCTGAACTGAAAAGAGAATCCAGACAGAGGCCATCTTGGGGAGGCACTGGACTTTGTAGAGCTGGCCACTCAGGCCTGAACCATGGGAATTAAGAGGACTCAACAATCGCCGCCCAGTCCATCCAACACCCACGAGATCATCCAATTATTTACTCACCACTTACTATAACCCTGCTCTCAAAGGGCTGATGCAGGCAGACAGAGTCAACCAACAGATTCAGGAAACAATTTCAGATGGTGACAGCTGCTACGTAGGAATACTGGGTTTGTGATAAGGCAGTGACTGGGGTCCGGGGGGTGCCGACTGTGGAATGAATGGACGGGGGGCAACCCGGAGGAGATGACATTTGACCTGAGAATCTGCACTGAGAAGAAGCCAATCGCGTGAAGAGCCAAAGAAAACACGTTCACTGCAGAGGCAGCAGCAAGTGCAAAGGTCCAGAAGTAGGAATGAGCTCGGGGTGTTCGCGGAGCAAAAAGGCAGCCAAAATGGTCCAGTGCTGTGACTGTGGGAAGTGGGGCAGGATGAGGGTGAACGGTGGGGGCGGGTGTTGGGGTGTGTGGGGGAGCAGGGCCCAGTTCCCGTGGCCGTGTGAACCACAGGAAGAAGTCTGATTTCACTGTAAGCTTAAGGAGGGCAATGAGAGTTTTAAATAGAGATGTTAAGAGATACTTGCTCTGGATGATTTTTCAAAAGGTTAGCCAGGCTACCCTGAAGCAGGGCCAGAGGGGAAGTGAAGCACGAGACAGGCGAGGAGGCTTCTGCAGTGGTCCAGATGGAAGGACCCGAGATGACAGGAATGGATGCATTCGGGATGTGTTTTGGATGGAAAACTGGCAGAGCTTAGTAATGCACTAGATGCTGGTGTGACACCAACAAAGGAATCAAGATGACTTCAGGACTGTGGCTTGAGCAACGTGGGAGATGTGATGCTGCTGGGGTGGGGTGGGGAAGGTGGACAAACGGGAGGAGCGGGTGTCCAGGAGATCAGGAGTCCGTTTTGAACGTGTTAAACTTAAGATGCCCACTCGTCAGCCAAGTGGAGATGCCAAGGAGGCAGCTGGCCGTAGGAGTTAGGAGTTCTGGGAGAGGTGTGGGTTGGGGATGCGAGCTGGTGACTCACCACCAGCATCCTGAGAGAATACCCAGGGAGGGCACGGAGCCCTGGAGAGTCTAACCTTCAGGTCAGCTTGAGGTGAGGAGCTGGCAGGGAAGGCAGAGGAAAGCCGGGAGCAGAGCACGTCTTAGCAGGAGTGAGCCGTTCACGGTGCTGGCTGCCACAGGGGCCAGAAGAGGTCAGCTGCTCACCCGGGCAGAAAAGGGAAGCAGACTGGGGTGGATGAGAGAACGGGAGGTGATGGGAGGCAGAGAGAATGCGCTGACGGCTCTTTGGGGACTTCGTTCACCGAGGGGACAGCTGCCTATTCACTGAGTACCTACTACGTGCCAGGCACCCACCTAGGCTCTGGGCACACAATGGTGACCCAGACAAGTTCCTGCCCTCATGGAGGTTACGTTCCCAACAGGGGCTGGAGCCAGATGGGGGTGTCTAGTCGAGATTTATTTATTTATTTGTTTCAAGAAGTTCATAAAGAAGGTGAGCGCCCAATAATTGATGTTTTAGAACTGTGGTGCTGGAGACGACTCTTGAATGTCCCTTGGAGAGCAAGAAGATCCAACCAGTCCATCCTAAAGGAAATCAAGACTGAATATTCACTGGAAGGACTGATGCTGAAACCGAAGCTCCAAAACTTTGGCCACTTGATGCAAACAGCTGACTCGTTGGAAAAAACCCTGATGCTGGGAAAGACTGAGGGCAGGAGAAGGGGGTGACAGAGAATGAGATGGTTGGATGGCATCACTGATTACAATGGACATTAGTTTGAGCAAGCTCGGGGAAACGGTGAAGGGAACAGGGAAGCCTGGTGTGCTGCAGGCCATGGGGTCGCAAAGAGTTGGACATGACTGAGCGACTGAGCAATACTAAGAAGTTCATGACTAGGACACGTCTATGTGCTGATGGTAATAATAATGCAGAACGGAGTGGGTGGTGGGCTGCCTCCAGGAGGCTGGGGAGGAGTTGCCCCCTGAGTACCTGAGCAGCCTTTCCACTGTCCCAGGAGGGCCAGCGAGTCGTTTGGGTGCCTGGGCAGAAGTGTGACTACCCACCCCTGACAACCCTCTAAGACGGGGTGCGTGCTCAGCATGCCCACCTTCCCTCTGCCCCGCACTGGGGTGGGGAGAAGTCGGGATTTGGAAGTGCCTACTGAACTCCGAGGCAGCATCAGCCCGGGTGGGATACAGTGAACCTCTCGGCCTCAGTCCAGGGTCCTCAGGCTCTACTGGAAGTGGGATCTTACCTAAGCCCACCACCCGACTTCTTGGGTGAGGAGGCAGGCCTCTAGCAGGCTGGAATAATTCCAGGGAGATGAGATGATGGGGGGGAAAAGCCAGCCACGGCTCTGGCTTTGGCTGAGGGCCTTTTGGGCGGGAACGGGAAAGGCAAGGCAGCCCTGCCCCCACGGGGCTCACGAAGTTCCGTCCGGGTGTGGGCAGAGAGGAGGCTGGGCTGCCAACCCTAGGCAGACCTGGGTCAGGATGCCTGCTGAATAGCTCCCAGGCGTCTCTGGATTATATTTTGTTTGTTGATTAAAAAGCACACAGTCTGATCAGAAATAAGCAAAACCTGCCACCCAATCTGTGTGGCTGTGAGACATAAGAGATTAACTCAACACCTGCTGGGCGCCCCCCCACCCCACCCCACCCACGTGCTGGGTACAGCAGGCACGGAGCTGCCACAAAGAAGGCTGCAGCACATGCTTAAAAAGGGCACACGAGCTCATGACATCATTCGGAAAACTCCGCATCCTGCTCAGCGAGGGAGCATTTCCTGTGAGGGATGCACTGCCGGCTGCGCGAGACCAGAATCCCCTGGGTGGAGACTAATATAGCACATGATGCACTTGACGCGGTCTCACAAGGAACCCGCTGAGTGTCAGCTAATCTCCTGGCCTTACTGAGTGCCTACTCTGTGCTGGCCATGTGCTCAGGGTGAGGGAAAACTGCATACAGGAGGGAAGTGAGAGGAAGGTGTGGGGTCAAGTCATGGAATTTGAATCCTGCCTCAGCACTCTGAGCCAGGAGATCCTAGCTGAGGCTCCACATCTCTTAGAGTCCCGGTTTTCTCATTTTGCAGTAAGGTGACAACCCCACTTATCCCACATCCACTTGTGAAGAGGGTGATACACCTGATGGTATGAGCATGGGATCCAGGATGTGCTTTGTTAAGTTTCTGGAGGAACTTACTTTAGGGCAGGTATGTGGAATGACGAGAAACTGAAAGAGCAGTCTGGGGGGCCATTCACAGAGCGAATCCGGCAGTTCTGGGAGGTGGGATTTTATCCTGGAGGCGATGGGGAGCCACGGAAGGTTTCAGAGCAGAGCAGGGACCCGAGACCCCAGCAGAGAAAGGAGACGACCACCTCGGTCAGGGGATGGAGACAACACTGACCAGAGTATCGCGGAGAAGCCGGGGGCAAGGGGCAGCAGGGGTGGGACTCTCTGGGGGAAACCCAAATCAAGAGTGCCAAGGTCTTGTCCATCTAAGATCAAGCAGATGTGGGGCAAAAAGATCACTCTTGCTATAAAATAAAGCTAAAAGGAAGCAGGAATTAGCATGTGTATGTATGTGTTGGTCGTGTCCGACTCTTTCCAACCCCATGGACTGTAGCCTGCCAGGCTCCTCTGTCCATGGGATTCTCCAGGCCAGAGTACTGGAGTGGGTAGCTATTCTCTTCTCCAGGGGATCTTCCCAATCCAGGGATCGAACCCGGGTCCTATATGGCAGGCAGATTCTTTACCATCTGAGCTTCCAGGGATGTAGGGCAAAAACATCACTCCTGCTATATAATAAAGCTAATATGCAATCAGGCAGGAGGGTTTAATATACATTTAGCTTTTTAAAAGCTCACTTGCTGCATGATGAAACTAGAAAGGAGGATACGAAAGTAAGGAGAACACCATGTGGATGATCTCACTGTCCTTCCTACTAGCCATCCAGAGGCAGGCAGGTGATACAGAGGAGAGAGAGGAAGCACAGGGCCAGGAATCAGGAGACGTGTGCTTTAACCCTGACCAGACAGACTTGACAGTGGCCTCGGCCTTCTCTGAGCATCGACAGCAGCTCCGTGAACTGGTCCCCGAGACTGAGCTTCGCTCCCTGCGGACTTACATTTGCTTCTCCAGTGGCACAGCGGGATCCACTCTCTCTCCCAGGATCCCACAGAACTCAGGGCTCCCATGTTTGATGGGCTTGAAGCCCCCTCCGGGAGCTCGAAGCTGGCGCCGCCGGTCCCGGGAAGGCGAGGGGGATGACTGCCGCTTCTCACTGCCATTAAACTGGGCTGTGGGGGAGAGAGAAAGAGCACGGTTACCCGGTTACCCAGAGCTCAGGCCAACAAGTTAGGGGCGGCACACAGTGGGGCCAGGAAATCAGCACGGGTGGGTGATGATTTACAGTTTGCAGGCAGAAGAGTTCCAAGCAATGAACAAACACAGCTCAAAAGCTGTGGGCTTCCTAGAGCAGGATGTGAGGTGCCGTCACAGTCAGACGGTGCAATCGAGGGGCTGGCTGAATCGACAGAGACCACTGAGCTCAGGCTTATCCCCAAAGGAACCCTCCCACAGCCTCCATCCAAGGGGACACGGTACCCCCAGAGGGGCTCTGCTCCCTAGACAGTGGTCAGGGGCAAAATTTTTCTTTATTTTGTGCCAAAAACCTGCCTCCAAGTGGCTCCTCTCCTCCTCCATTCTCCCACCCTCCCCCCAACCCGGGGCTGCACTGGCCACATCTGCCCCCTTTCTCCTGGGACAAACACAGAGTTCCAATCGAGGGGTGTGTTGCACCACAGCCGTCTGCTCCTCTACACTCACCCCACTGCGTGGGCCCTCTGCACAGCCAGCCCCGTCCTGGACGAGCCCCCAGGTGAGGCTGGAGCAGTGCCCAGCAGGGTGGGATGGGCCCTCCAATGTGCCTTCCTTCCAGCCCTGGACCTGCAGGAGCATCCTCTACCCCATGGGCTGGGGAGGTACCTTTGGAGGGAAGGACCCTGGAGACACCCCACAAAGAGTGGAAAATACTGAGCTAAAACCGGAGTTCCCAGGACACCCCTGGTGGTCCAGTGGCTAAGAATTCACCTTCCAACGCAGGGGATGCAGGTTTGATCCCTGGTCAGGGAACTAAGTTTCCCACATTCCTCGCGGTGACTAAGCCTGCATTCTGCAACTACTGAGCCCACATGCTCCGCAGCCCCCGTGCCACAGTGGAAGAGCCTGCATACCACAACCACATAAATAAGTATTTTAAAAACAAACAAACAAAACTGGAGTTGCCAGAAGTGTTGGGAGAGACCAGTAGTCCACCTTGCAAGTCATGACTCTGGGCTTCGGTTGCCTCGTCTGAAAACGAGGGATGACGACCATACCCAACGCGTGGGGCAGCTGTGAGGAGTCTGCCAGGGGATGAATAGCCATCTCAACAGAGCGCCTGGCGTGTGGTTAGTCTGTGCTCGGTCAATGCGATCACAAAGGTTTGCTTTCATTACTCTTATCATGCCTACTCACTGTGGACACGTACTACGTACTTCACAGAAGCTTCTGAACTGCCCTGAGTCCCCCTCTGCAGTTGGCCATGACCAGCTGTGTGCCTTGGCTAAGCCGCTCCACTTCTCCGAAGCCCTATTTCCTACCATACCGACTGCCGTGGGAATCAGGTGAGGGACTACATTTGATTGGCACAGCATATACTTAAGCGCTGAGTAAACTGGGCCAGGGCCTGCGGAACCGCGTACCCAAGGCCACGTCCAGCTACAGGCCCACAGACGCACAATGGTGGAAATCTCCCCAGCCCCAGCCAGCAAGCACGGACGTGGCGAGCTGGCCTCCGACCCCAGACACACAGCGATCAACCTCATGTTCATGGAAGGTGGTGGGAAACTCCTGCCCTGACAGTGGTGATGCGCGGTCTACGGACCGCCGAGGATGGTGAATGAACTTGTGGCATGTCTCTGCCACGGAGCCAGATTACCCATCAGGGCGGCGAAGCATTTCCATTCCTCTGAGACAGGCTTCTCTATTAATCACTACAGAAAACAGTGGGGAGGGAGGGTGGTTCCTGCCAACCGAAGGCTCAAGACAGGCTGGACCCACGTGTTTGGTCACTGTCATGACTGCAGCGGGGTCTGGCAGGCTGTCCCTTCCAGACTCATGTTCGCGTGGGCCAGGCGTGGTCCGCGGTTGGGGAAACAGCACTGAGCAGAACAGAAAGCCCCACTTCTGGAGCTCAGGGTCTGAGAGATAAGTAAAGTCAGTCCGATCCACAGCACTCCAGCTGGAGCTAAGTGCTCTGGAGGAGAGGCCAGCAGGACAAGGCAGGCCTCTCAGAGGATAGCATCTGAATAAACGCCTGCAGGAAGGGGGCCAAGCAGCGTGGACGGCTGGGGGAAGGACACTCTGGAGAGAAGGAAGAACAGATTCCAGGCCCTTGACTTTAGGCTCAGGCTGAGGGTGACAGAGAAACAACACACCAGGGGAATGGGAGTGGGTTGCACTGGGTGGGATTTGAGGCCCAGGGGAGTGGGAGGGAGCAGGGCCGTGTGTTTGGGGGTTTTGTGGACCCTGGGAAGGACTTCGGTTTTATTCTGAGAGAAATGAAGAGCCATTCTGACTTCTGATTCTGAAGTCAGAAAGCTGAAAGCTTCTGGGAAAGCTTTCGACCTGGTACTCTTTAACAGGACTGCTGGGCTGAAAAGGGGACGGAGGGTGTGGGTCTATGGGAACTCTCCATAATTTCATCTCAATTTTGCTGTGAACCTAAGACGACTCTTAGAAAAACAAAAGTGTGTTAATTAAAAAGAGAGAGAGTGAGATGGACGAGGAGCAAGGCGGAGCGGTGCAGAAGCTCCTGGAGGACGGGCTGGCATTGGGGAGGTGGGTAGAAGTGACTGAGAATCGGACTTGTGTATGTCTTCAGAATGGAGGGTGAGAGAGACAGAGGGTCAAGGTCACTACCGGCTTTTGGCCTGAGCGTTGGAGGACGGGGCTGGCCAGCCCAGGTGAAGAAGGCCAAGCCCCAACCTCCAGACGCCCACAGCCTATGACGCCAGGGCTGAGGGCAGAGTGGGGGCCCGCCTGGGGCTCCCTGCCCTCGTCCCTGGCTACGGTTCTGTCCTGTGTCCAACCACAGGGACAGGCAGCCAGGTGGCGATGATCTCAAGGCCCTTCTAGGGGACAGGTCCTGGGGTTGGCTGTCTGAGAAACAAACATCCTCCTCCATCCGGCTGATGAGCTGAGCTTTCAGTGGTGATAAAGGGGTGATGTTCAGAGCTGGGGCCCCCACACGCATGTCATCACGGGCCTTCCCCCAGCTTCCCAGCAGCCCAGCTCCCCAGTCAGAACTCACAGGGAACCACACCAGCCCTCGGGGCAGCCGGCAAAATGGGGTACATGTCCTGGGAGGGGGTGTGAGAGAGAGGTGAAGCAGGTTCTGACCTGAGCCACCTAACTTGCAGAGCCTTGCATGGGTGACCTTGGGTAGGGGCAAGCGTGGGGATCAGGTAGACAGGTGAGGGCCTGGTCACCTTCTAAAGGGCTGAGACTTGATCCTATGGTGGGTTGAATCAAGGAATGCCATCCTTCAGACTGGGCTTTAAAGACCTCTCTGACTGCTGATGGGGAGAGGGTTTAGGGGTGACTCTGGAGGCGGAGAGGTAGGGAAAGTGATGAAGGCTGAATCCCTCAATGATGACAGGGATGAGGGAGGTGACTCCAACAGGACTTGACTATTCGCGGGGCAAGTCCGGGAAGACCCCTGTGTAGTACCGCACTGCGATGGAGACCGGGGCACAGCGGGACGTGGGGTCGGGGAGAATGGGGCCAGTGTGCACTTCCCCATGAAGCCTCCTGTCGGCTACCTTTCTGGTTTTGGGGAATGGAGAGAATGGAGACAGGACTGCACAGCAGGCCTCTGACCCCAAGCGGTGAACGGTGCCCCAGGGGGCAGCAGGGTGGGGGTGTGGGAAGGGGTAGGTGGGAGACGAGGTTCTGGGCTTTGTTCTGGCCCAGGCAGATAAGAGCGAGAGACCAGATGAACTGTAAGGCACTTTCGCCTCAGACAATCTGGGTGCTCCACAATCTAGGTGCTCCAAATCGGAATCTGGGAATTTCTGCCAGCATAAAATCCTACTATACACCTCCTGGCGCAGAAGGTAAGGGGAGAGGCATGGAGCATGCAACACGATCATGGAAGGAAGGCAGGTTCTCAAGACCAACGACCTGGCAACCTGTCTGGTCTCAGGTCTCACCACGCCGCCTCCCAGGCTCTGTTCTTCGTGTGAATCATCAGGGCTCTTGCCTTTCTCCTCGTCCACCTGCCTGACTCCACGTGTTCTTTAGGAGTCAGCTCTTCCAGGAAGCCCTCCCTGGCTTCACCCACTTCCCAGACTCACCTTGATCTCAGCCTCAGTTCAGTTCAGTTCAGTCGCTCAGTCATGTCTGACTGCGATTCCATGAACCGCAGCACGCCAGGCCTCCCTGTCCATCACCAACTGCCAGAGCTTACTCAAACTCATGCCCATTGAGTCGGTGATGCCATCCAGCCATCTCATCCTCTGTCGTCCCCTTCTCCTCCTGCCCTCAATCTTTCCCAGCATCAGGGTCTTTTCAAATGAGTCAGTTCTTCGCATCACGTGGCCAAAGTATTGGATTTTCAGCTTTAACATCAGTCCTTCCAATGAACACCCAGGACTGATCTCCTTTAGGATGGACTGGTTGGATCTCCTTGCAGTCCAAGGGACTCTCAAGAGTCTTCTCCAACACCACAATTCAAAAGCATCAATTCTTTGACGCTCAGCTTTCTTTGTAATCCAACTCTCACATCTATACGTGACTACTGGAAAAACCATAGCTTTGACTAGACGGATCTTTGTTGGCAAAGTAACGTCTCTGCTTTTTAATATGCTGTCTAGGTTGGTCATAGCTTTTCTTCCAAGTAGCAAGTGTCTTTTAATTTCATGGCTGCAGTCACTATCTGCAGTGATTTTGGAGCCCAAGAAAATAAAGTCTGTCACTGTTTCCATTGTTTCCCCATCTATTTGCCATGAAGTGATGGGACTGAATGCCATGGTCTTAGTTTTCTGATCTCAGCCTTTGGTACCCTAACGGCCAGTTTCTTTGTTTGGCTCCCCATGAGCCCCTCAAGAGCAGGGGCAACACCATATTTGCCCCCATCCCCGCATCCTTAATGTATGACCACAACATAATAGGTGCTCAAAGAATGACTGAATGAAGAAACTTAATGAGCTGCTGTTTCATTTTGCTGGGGAAAAATATCGGTTTTCATACCAGA